CACAGTATGGCGCATTAGATTTGTAAAATCTTTGATCACATTTATTTATTTGTTATGCCGAATCTAACAGTGTATTTAGATTTTTAATTTTGGGTCCAGTTTTCAAATTGCATTAATGTCCAAAGGGTCCAAAATTAAACTTTGTTTGATTTTAGCAAAAATTGAATATATGAGGTTCTTTGATATGCTGAATCTAAACATGTATTTAGATTTTTGATTTTTGGCCCAGTTTTCAAGTTGGTCCAAATTGGGGTCCAAAATTAAACTTTGTTTGATTTCAACAAAAATTGAATATATGGGGTTCTTTGATATGCTGAATCTAACCATGTATTTAGATTTTTTATTTGTGGACCCCGTTATCTAATTGGTTCATATTGAGGTCAAAAGGGTCCAAAATTAAACTTTGTTTGATTTCATCTAAAATTGAATTATTGGGGTTCTTTGATATTCCAAATCTAACCGTGTATTTAGGTTTTTAATTTTGGGTCCTGTTTTTTAAATTGGTCTACATTGAGGTCCAAAGGGTCCAAAATTAAACTTAGTTTGATTTTAACAAAAATTGAATTCTTGGGGTTCTTTGATTTGCTGAATCTAAACATGTGTTTAGATTTTTGATTATGGGCCCAGTTTTCAAGTTGGTCCAAGATAGGGTCCAGTATTTAAACTTTGTTTGATTTCAACAAAAATTGAATATATGGGGTTCTTTGATATACTGAATCTAAACATGTGTTTAGATTTTTGATTATGGGCCCAGTTTTCAAGTTGGTCCAAATTGGGGTCCAAAATTAAACTTTGTTTGATTTCAACAAAAATTGAATATATGAGGTTCTTTGATATGCTGAATCTAACCATGTATTTAGATTTTTTATTTGTAGGCCCCGCTATCAAATTGGTTCATATTGAGGTCAAAAGGGTCCAAAATTAAACTTTGTTTGATTTCATCGAAAATTGAATTATTGGGGTTCTTTGATATGCCAAATCTAACCGTGTTTTTAGATTTTTAATTTGGGTCCCGTTTTTTAAATTGGTCTTCATTGAGGTCCAAAGGGTCCAAAATTAGACTTAGTTTGATTTTAACAAAAATTGAATTCTTGGGGTTCTTTGATATGCTGAATCTAAACATGTTTAGATTTTTTATTATGGGCCCTGTTTTCAAGTTGGTCCAAGTTGGGGTCCAAAATTAAACTTTTTTTGATTTCAACAAAAATTGAATATATGGGGTTCTTTGATATGCTGAATCTAACCATGAATTTAGATTTTTTATTTGTGGGCCCCGCTATCAAATTGGTTCATATTGAGGTCAAAAGGGTCCAAAATTAAACTTTGTTTGATTTCATCAAAAATTGAATTATTGGGGTTCTTTGATATTACAAATCTAACCGTGTATTTAGATTTTTAATTTTAAGTCCCGTTTTTTAAATTGGTCTACATTAAGGTCCAAAGGGTCCAAAATTAAACTTAGTTTGATTTAAGCAAAAATTGAATTCTTGGGGTTCTTTGATATGCTGAATCTAAACATGTGTTTAGATTTTTGATTATGGGCCCAGTTTTCAAGTTTGTCCAAGTTGGGGTCCAAAATTAAACTTTGTTTGATTTTAACAAAAATTGAATATATGGGGTTCTTTGATATGCTGAATCTAACCATGTATTTTGATTTTGGACATTGGACCATAATAGGTAAATTAAAAAAATTCAAGTTCTTAGACCACATTCTTTCTGTGTCAGAAACCTATGCTGTGTCAAATATTTAATAACAATCCAAATTCAGAGCTGTATCAAGCTTGAATGTTGTGTCCATACTTGCCCCAACTGTTCAGGGTTCGACCTCTGCGGTCGTATCAAGCTGCGCCCCAGCGAAGCATTTTATTGATTATGGGCCCAGTTTTCAAATTGGTCCAAGAAAGGGTCCAAAATTAAACTTTGTTTGATTTCAACAAAAATTGAATATATGGGGTTCTTTGATATGCTGAATCTAAACATGTATTTAGATTTTTGATTATGGGCCCAGTTTTCAAGTTGGTCCAAATTGGGGTCCAAAATTAAAATTGTTTGATTTCAATAAAAATTGAATATATGAGGTTCTTTGATATGCTGAATCTAACCATGTATTTAGATTTTTTATTTGTGGGCCCCGCTATCAAATTGGTTCATATTGAGGTCAAAAGGGTCCAAAATTAAACTTTGTTTGATTTCATCAAAAATTGAATTATTGGGGTTCTTTGATATGCCAAATCTAACCGTGTATTTAGATTTTTAATTTTGGGTCCTGTTTTTTAAATTGGTCTTCATTGAGGTCCAAAGGGTCCAAAATTAAACTTAGTTTGATTTTAACAAAAATTGAATTCTTGGGGTTCTTTAATATGCTGAATCTAAACATGTGTTTAGATTTTTGATTATGGGCCCAGTTTTCAAGTTGGTCCAAATTGGGGTCCAAAATTAAAATTGTTTGATTTCAACAAAAATTGAATATATGGGGTTCTTTGATATGCTGAATCTAATCTGATTTTTTATTTGTGGGCCCCGCTATGAAATTGGTTCATTTTGAGGTCAAAAGGGTCCAAAATTAAACTTTGTTTGATTTCATCAAAAATTGAATTATTGGGGTTCTTTGATATTCCAAATTTAACTGTGTATTTAGATTTTTAATTTTAAGTCCTGTTTTTAAATTGGTCTACATTAAGGTCCAAAGGGTCCAAAATTAAACTTAGTTTGATTTTAGCAAAAATTGAATTCTTGGGGTTCTTTGATATGCTGAATCTAAACATGTGTTTAAATTTTTGATTATGGGCCCAGTTTTCAAGTTTGTCCAAGTCGGGGTCCAAAATTAAACTTTGTTTGATTTTAACAAAAATTTAATATATGGGGTTCTTTGATATGCTGAATCTAACCATGTATTTTGATTTTGGACATTGGACCATAATAGGTAAATTAAAAAAAATTCAAGTTCTTAGACCACATTCTTTCAGTGTCAGAAACCTATGCTGTGTCAAATATTTAATAACAATCCAAATTCAGAGCTGTATCAAGCTTGAATGTTGTGTCCATACTTGCCCCAACTGTTCAGGGTTTGACCTCTGCGGTCGTATCAAGCTGCGCCCCAGCGAAGCATTTTATTCTAGTTTCCAGACAATAACTTGTGTGTAAGTGTATGGATCTCTCTGACATTGTATCACAAGGTTCCATATCACAAAGGGAATGCTGGGATTGATTTTGGGGGTAATTGCCTTCACATTTTAGGAATTAGGGGCAAAAAAGGGGCAAAAAACAAGCATTTTTCTAGTTTCATGACAATAACTTGTGTGTAAGTGTATGAATACATTTATTCAGAAACCTATAATAGATGTATGTCAAATATTTAATTAATATCCAAATTCAGACCTGTATCAAGCTTGAATATTGTGTCCATTTTTGCCCCAACTGTTTAGGGTTAGACCTCTGTGGGCGTATACAGCTGCGCTCAGCGAAGCAGTTTATTCTAGTTTCCAGACAATAACTTGTGTTCAAGTGTATGGATCTCTCTGAAATTGTACTGCAAGGTACCATACCACAAAGGGAAGGCTGGGATTGATTTTGGGGGTAATTCCCTCAAATTTTTAGGAATTAGGGGCCATAAAAGGGCAAAAAAACAAACATTTTTCTAGTTTCAGGATAATTACTTGTGTGTAAGTGTATGGATCTTTATGAAATTGTACTGCAAGGTTCCATATCACAAAGGGAAAGCTGGGTTTGAGTTTGGGGGTAATTGCCCTAAATGTTTAGGAATTTGGGGCTAAAAAGGGGCCAAAAAACAAGCATTTTTCTAGTTTCCAGACAATAACTTGTGTTCAAGTGTATGGATCTCTCTGAAATTGTACTGCAAGGTACCATACCACAAAGGGAAGGCTGGGATTGAGTTTGGGGGTGATGAATCATAAGGGGGTTCAAAAAATTTTTTTGGGGGGGATTTTATTTTCCTTTTTTTTTTCTTTAAAATTTTCCATTTTAAATTGGTTATTTCTGATTTATATATAAAAGCAAATAATAATGATATGGTTTGAATAGGTAAATTAAAAAATTTTAAGTTCTTAGACCACTTTCATTCTGTGTCAGAAACCTATGCTGTGTCAAATATTTAATTACATTCCAAATTCAGTGCTGTATCAAGCTTGAATGTTGTGTCCATACTTGCCCCAACTGTTCAGGGTTCGACCTCTGCGGTCGTATCAAGCTGCGCCCCAGCGGAGCATTTTATTTTAATTTGAATTTATTGTCTAAAAGAAATGCACTACGAAATAACTGTGTTCTCAGGCCAATAATATGAACTGGCATTCTGATGTCTGATACACATATCTGTATTAAGATTTTCCTGAAATTGCAATAACTAATCTCATATTTTTGTCCATTCTTCAAAAATCACAATAAAGACACTTAATAATATTTGAATGCACAGAACTTGATCAGAATTAATCACACTGCTTGCTGGCAGTTATACAACTTTTTTTTGAGTGATTTGTTTAAGGATTAAATAATGACATCAGATTTTAAAAACAGACATTTAAATGTGAAAAAGATAAGGTTATACATGTAGGTACAGTTTTCCATCTGCAAAGTATCTGCTTATTAAGAACTGTAAGTAAAATACTTTTAAAAGGGATGTGGTATGATTGCCAATGAGACAACTTTCCACCACAAACCACTTAACAAGGATGTTAGCATCTATAGGTCAGGGTACAGGCTTCAACAAGGAGCTAATAAAAGGCCCTGACATGAACAAAATGTGAAAACATAAGGCCTGATTTATGATAACAATACACAAAAAACAAGGATTGTAAACAGTATGCACTGACAACCTTTGAATAACAGTCTCCTGATTTCGAACAGGTACATACACAATATTTGTTTGTTTGCTTTTGATTCATTAATAATAAAACATCTTTGAAATCACATGGGGGGGGGGGGGGGCATCATTATTATTTGATAGGATAAACATATACGATGTGATAACTTTTCTTATATAACAGACCCAGTAGAGTTCCAAATGACCTATGACCGTAGGACTGGTAAACCAGTAGCAAGCCATATTGTATTGTTAAACTCTGGAAGCCAATCTTATGAAGTGTTGAGTGAGGAGAAGTTTACAGGATCTATTGCACAGGAAGCCAAGCCAACAAAGAACAAAAATGTAAGACTTGTATTTTCAGTGACAAGTAGAGAAGTACCAAACCATTTATGATAAAAGTGGAATCAATCTAGAGTATATTCCACGAACAAGGGGACCAAAAATAACATGACAGATTTTCAATCTACTAAGAGATGATTGTGAACAGAAACCACTTCAAATAATGCTTTCATTAAAAAAAAGAAGCAACACTATTTACATTAGGACCAGTGTTCTCCCCAGGATTTTTGGATAGCACCAGGGTAACGCGTGTGAACAGCTTGATGAAATGATTCATACAATCAGTTGTGTCGCGTGGCGTCGCTATATTTCTAGTTACTGCAGTGTTTATGTCTCTTGTTTTGTTTTAATACTGTGGTACTGTGTTATGTCAGAATATTATGGTTAAAAAGATCAATAAACAGTTTGTATTCTTTTTAATATTTTTTAGAAATAAATAAAACATGATTCATTACATAATATTCATCTAAATTTAAAGTAATTAAATCTTTTATCCATGGCCATGATCAATAAAAATAAAATATCATTCAAACAGGAACATATATACATGTATTGTTAGATATACTGTTCCCAGATTCAAAAGAGAACAAAAATGTTCAATTTAAAAAAACTTGCTAATTTCTAAAAAGAAAGTTGTTGTATGTGAAAGGATTCCTGTCATAAGGAGATATAAAATTAACAAGAACAAAATTGTGTTAAAATTTGAACCAGTTTCTATCTTAAATTTTAATTAAAAGAAATTTTTCATAAATTTTAAAACATTTTGCCATAGATTTCATGTACATGTAAGGGAGCTACCATTTGATTTTTATGGTGGTGGTGGTGGTGGGGGCTAGGATGAAATTTGAAAAAAATAGGCAGGACAGGAGTTTTGGGTAAAAAAAAAAGGCAGGATGAGACACTTGCCAAAAAAAAAAGTCAGGATGACAATTTAGGTAAAAAAAAGTCAGGATAAACTTTAAAAAAAAAAGGCAGGACCGTTTAGAGTGAAAAATAAAAAGGCAGGACAGAGATTACAACTTAAAAAAAAATGCAGGACAAAATTTTTCATCCTAGCCCCCCCCCCATAAAAATCAAATGGTAGCTCCCTAAATATTAACCTTTCTTTCTTTGGTGATAATCAAACATAGATACAGACTTAATACTGCACTGAAATCTAAATCTTTATTTGTCGTGATCCATTTAAAAAGAATTCCTAAATCTATAAATTTATCTTAGGTCTATAGATCTATAAGTAACATATTCAATGTCAACAACAAAGTCTCCCTATTTTCCCGCCTAAATGACAGGAAGTAGATATAAATAGATTTAACATGTGCTTATGGATTAAAATTGCAAGATCACTTCTGTTATTCATTAATGATCATATGGATATAGATATCCAGTTTGAAGGTACAGTCATGCATTTTATTTATAAAATAGAATAGATTGCAGTTAATTGTAAATAATCTTGAATATTCTACTAGAACTAACTAGGTCATGTGATCCTTCCCCTTTGAATTACTTGTTGACAGTATGAAACAGGAATATCATGCAATAATATATGTCATAATTAAAGATAATTTTGGCCATGGTTTAATCAGAGACATATAAAACTATAATATAAGTATTGAGCTAACTTTATAATGTACAAAATATGTACCGTCGTGTGTACAACTATCGGGTCAACACGGTTTGTGTACAAAGTATTTGCCAACTTGTCAGGTGGTGAGTGAAGCCTTAAAATAGTTATCTTTGATCATAAAGTTATGACCTCTAAATTAAAACACAAAAGAATCATGTAAAAAGTGTTAATTACATCAATTAAACCAATCAACAAAGGTTAACCTCATAAAGGTAAATCGATCACGTGGTGTAAACAATCCGTGTTGAACTGGTCAAATTTCACCTGGAATTTTATATACTGCACGGAAAAGATTTAACATGTCGTTTAACACTTTACCTATTTACGATTTTTTAACTGAAAATTTTAGCACCACGGAGAAAAATTATACATGGCAATAAGAACAATACCACCGCGGTAAAAAAATATACATCGCAGGCCCGCGGTCCTTTAATGGCCTGGGGAGAACACTGTAGGACTGTCCCAGAATTAAAAGAAAGGTGTTCATTGGAGGCACTTGTTCAAGACCCTAACCACCCAAAAAAGATATGATTTTTATTTTACTTTAGTCTCATAAAATCTTTCAAATTGTAAAGAAAATGCAACCACGTACAATTTATTAATTTGAGTGCCCCCTCCCCCCTCTCACCAAGGTTAATTTTGGAACAGTCCTCAGGTCCTTGTGAAGGGTACAGTACACAGAAAGTCCTTCAGTTAAAAGTAATGCTTTGTCCTGATTTTTCACAGTGAAGGCTGGTGATTGTTTGTGATTCTAATTGACTTATATATAACCCAAATCTACTCTATACATTATGTACTGTGAATTCATTTATTTTTCGTGGATCACGGGAAATATTGTTTCATGGTTTTGCCAAAGTTTGCATACAATATAATTGAAAATGGAAATGGGGAATGTGTCAAAGAGACAACAACCCGACCAAAGAGCAGAAAACAGCCCAAGGCCACCTATGGGTCTTCAACACAGCGAGAAAATCCCGTACCCGGAGGCAGACTTCAGCCTATAGAAAATTTGAACTTTGTTAAACATTTAAATGCGTGGTTCACCTTTACCCAATGAAACTTGGTATCCCATGAACATGATGAATAATAATGAATCCACAGTAATATAAAAGGGATGTATTAAAGGCATTGATCTTATAATGATAATAACAATTGAAGTTTTGTTTACTGTAAATTCAGAAATTATTGCGATGTTTTTATTATTGCGAAAAATGCGACAGGGTTATAAACGCAATAATTTAAACTCGCATTTTAAAATTTTGTATATGAATTAAACAGGATTTTTCTCAAAATCGCAAAATTTAAAATCGCATTTTAATCTAAAATGACAAAATTGCAATAATAAATGCACGCAATAATTTCTTAATTTACAGTATTTATTTTATAATTGCAGGGTTATGCTTTATCAGAAGATAGCCTTGGGAGGGTAACTTACCAACATAATGGAGAAGTTTTCTTTTTACCGTATGGATCTGATGATGTTATTGATAAGACTTTTAAACCAATAGCCCAAGATCAAGTCCAGTTTTATATAGCAACTGATAAAAGGTATAGTAGAATAAAAACAGGTCAGTTCAAATTAGAATGTTCAAATACAAACACTTTATTATAAAACTGGTTTCCTGAAACATGCCAAATGGTTTGCGAATTATTATGGAAATTTTCTCCTTTGTTCAATCATCTTGAACATACATAAAATATTTTCCACTGGACGTAAAGCAACCAACAATCAGTCAATCCTTCGTGAAAATATGTGATGTTTTTCAACACTGATCAGTAAGTTATGGCTGTAATTTATAAAACTCATTTTTGAATAGAAAGTTGTAGTATTTATATCAATTGTTTTTTTTTATCTCTCATTATTTTGGTATAATTATTTAATTACTGAGAAAAATCAGTCTGATTTTATATTCAGATATTTATTTTAGAATTGAAAAGGATTTCATTGATGTAAAAAAATATCAATAGTTAGAGTTTTTCCTGTCATACATGATTCATAAGTCATCCCCATGGTCTATACATTGAAAATCACACGTAAAGCTAACAAACACATTTTTTTCCCCAGGAATGGTAACTTACATGCAAGACAGATTGAACCAGTCAGTTGTAAAGTACAAGGAGTTGTCTGCTCTTTAAAAGATTCTTTTGGTTTTATCGAACGAGCTGATGTGGTCAAGGAGATCTTTTTCCACTACAGTGAATATAAAGGAGATATCAACAAACTAAATCTAGGGGATGATGTTGAGTTTGATGTTCAAAGTAGAAATGTAAGTTCAATATGAATTATGATTAGCTGTCCCAATAAAACAGATGATGTAAATTTAACTTCAATTGACCTTTTGAAGTAAATGTTACATCAATTTATATTAAGGCCATGCATAGCAGTTAAGGGATATTACTTTTGTAAGTCCTGAAGAGGTTAACATGACCATTGGTGAAGAAAATCTCAAAGTTTACACTCCTTAGATAGTAATCATGAATGTCATAATATTTTTCAGACAAAGGAAGTCACAATAAATATTCAAGTTTACCAATTTGAACTTTTATATTTATTTTGCAGATAAAGGAAGTCTCAGTAAATATAAGTATTTATTTTTCACACAAAGGAAGTAGCAGTAAATATTTTATCAATTTTTTAGAAATTCGCAGTAATTATAGAAAGTTTACCCATTGGAATGGTTATATTGTTTTTCAGACAAAAGATATTGCAGTATATATTCAAAGTTTACCAACTAAAAATGTTGTATTTATTTTTCAGACAAAGGAAGTCGCAGTAAATATTCAAAGTTTACCCATTGGCACTGTTATATTTATTTTTCAGACAAAGGAAGTCGCAGTAAATATTCAAAGTTTACCCATTGGAACTGTTATATTTGAGGACATAAGTGTCAACAAAATACAAGGCTCAGTCCAGAGAACTCTTAAAAATAGTCGTCGACAAAGTGATCCTCTGGGAGGACGAATCTCTTATGAATCTGCCAAGGGGTAAAATATTATATACTTTTTATACGCCCGTTTACGGGACGTATTATGGTATACCTCTGTCCGTCTGTCCGTCCGTCTGTCCGTCGTCAACATGTCGGACATTAACTCAAGAATGCTTTAACCAATTTGCATAAAACTTTGGTGAATTGTTTATATCTATTGACGTGAGCTCCCTTTCGTTTTTTATAAAATTTAGATTTTACGTTTCCGAGTTATGGGGTTTTATTCATTAAAAAAAGGGGGATTTTCCAGTTTTCGGACAATAAGTCAAGAATGCTTTCACCAACTTGCAAGAAATTGTGGTGAATTGTTTATATCTATTAACATGAGCTCTCTTTTGATTTTTATAAATTTTAGATTTTACGTTTCCGAGTTACAGGGTTTTATCCATAAAAAAAGGGGGGATTTTTCAGTTTTCGGACAAAAACTCAAAAATGCTTTCAGCAATTCTTATGAAACTTTGGTGAATTGTTTGTATGTATTGATGTAAACTCTCTTTAGAATTTTATAAATTTTACATTTAACATTTCTGAGTTATGGGGTTTTATTCATTAAAAAAAGGGTGATTTTCCAGTTTTCAGACAATCATTCAAAAATGCTGTCACCAATTCTTATGAAACTTTGGTGAATTGTTTATATCTATTGATGTAAGCTCCCTTTTTATTTTCATAAATTTCTAATATGGCATTGAGAATTAATTGAACTTTATTTGTTTATAGTCTTGACAACAGATTTACTAAGTGTTGCACAACAGCAAGAAATTTTTAATTGAATATAAATTCAATTCATATAACCAATTTAAGTTCTTTGAATACATTTATTCAGAAACCTATAATATGTCAAATATTTAATTACAATCCAAATTCAGACCTGAATCAAGCTTGAATATTGTGTCCATTTCTGCCCCAACTGTTCAGGGTCGGACCTCTGCGGGCGTATCTAGCTGCGCTCAGCGAAGCAGTTTATTGCCAAATACTATACTGTCAATAATTGTCATTATTTTTATACGACCTTTTTTGCGTTCGTATATTGGTATGACGTCGTCGTCGTCATCGTCCGAAGACACATTGGTTTTCGCACTCTAACTTTAGTTTAAGTGAATGGATCTCTATGAAATTTTACCATAAGGTTCAATACCACAAAAGGAAGGTTGGGATTGATTTTGGGGGTTATGGTACCAACAGTTAAGGAATTAGGGGCCAAAAAGGGGCCAAAAATAAGCATTTTTGTAACTTCCAGACATTACTTGTGTGTTAGTGTATGGATCTCTCTGACATTGTACCACAAGGTTCCATATCACAAAGGGAATGCTGGTATTGATTTTGGGGGTAATTGCTTCAAAATTTTAGGAAGTACGGGCCAAAAAAGGGGCAAAAAACAAGCATTTTTCTAGTTTCATGATAATAACTTGTGTGTAAGTGTATGGATCTTTCTGAAATTGTACTACAAGGTTCCATATCACGAAGGGAAAGCTGGAATTGAGTTTGGGGGTAATTGCCCAAAACGTTAGGAATAAGGGGCCAAAAATAAGCATTTTTCTAGTTTTCAGACAATAACTTGTGTTCAAGTGTATGGATCTCTCTGAAATTGTACTGCAAGGTACCATACCACAAAGGGAAGGCTGGGATTGATTTTGGGGGTAATTGCCCTAAACGTTTAGGAATTTGGGGCCAAAAGGGGCCTAAAAACAAGCATTTTTCTAGTTTCCAGACAATAACTTGTGTTCAAGTGTATGGATCTCTCTGAAATTGTACTGCAAGGTACCATACCACAAAGGGAAGGCTGGGATTGATTTTGGGGGTAATTGCCCTAAACGTTTAGGAATTTGGGGCCAAAAGGGGCCTAAAAACAAGCATTTTTCTAGTTTCCAGACAATAACTTTTGTTCAAGTTTATGGATCTCTCTGAAATTGTACTACAAGGTTCCATATCACAAAGGGAAAGCTGGGTTTGAGTTTGGGGGTAATTGCCCTAAACGTTTAGGAATTTGGGGCCAAAAAGGGGCCTAAAAACAAGCATTTTTCTAGTTCCCAGACAATAACTTGTGTTCAAGTGTATGGATCTCTCTGATTGATTTTGGGGGTAATTGCCCTAAACGTTTAGGAATTTGGGGCCAAAAGGGGCCTAAAAACAAGCATTTTTCTAGTTTCCAGACAATGACTTTTGTTCAAGTTTATGGATCTCTCTGAAATTGTACTACAAGGTTCCATATCACAAAGGGAAAGCTGGGTTTGAGTTTGGGGGTAATTGCCCTAAACGTTTAGGAATTTGGGGCCAAAAAGGGGCCTAAAAACAAGCATTTTTCTAGTTCCCAGACAATAACTTGTGTTCAAGTGTATGGATCTCTCTGAAATTGTACTACAAGGTTCCATATCACAAAGGGAAAGCTGGAATTGAGTTTGGGGGTAATTGCCCAAAACGTGTAGGAATAAGGGGCCAAAAATAAGCATTTTTCTAGTTTCCAGACAATAACTTGTGTTCAAGTGTATGGATCTCTCTGAAATTGTACTGCAAGGTACCATACCACAAAGGGAAGGCTGGGATTGAGATTGGGGGTGATGAATCATAAGGGGGTTCAAAAAATTTTGGGGGAGGGTTTTTTTTTTCTTTAAAATTTTCCATTTTAAATTGATTATTTCTGATTTATATATAAAAGAAAATAATAATGATATGGTTTGAATAGGTAAATTAAAATTTTTAAGTTCTTAGACCACATTCATTCTGTGTCAGAAACCTATGCTGTGTCAAATATTTAATCACAATCCAAATTCAGTGCTGTATCAAGCTTTAATGTTGTGTCCATACTTGCCCCAACTGTTCAGGGTTCGACCTCTGCGGCCGTATCAAGCTGCGCCCAGCGGAGCATTTTATTTAAAAAAATCTGTAGGTAGTCTTTGACTTTTTTGATTTTATTGTGAAATAATGGTCTTTTTGAAAATGTTGGCCCTTTAAAATGGATGTGCAAAGACCTGTTCTTTCAAAAAGAAAATTCTCTTTGATTCTTATTATGCACAGGGTATATGGTAAAACTATTTTATCTCAATTGTCTTTTATAAAGTATAATAGTTCAGCAACGTTGCTTACATGTTGCCTTTGGTTAAAATTTAAGTTCAGGTCTGGATATGGTTAAAAAAAAATATGGAGAAGTGGTACATTGATAACCAAAGGACAAAGATGCGAACAATTATAGGTCACTGTACGACCTTCAACAATGAGTAAAACACATACTGTATAGTAAGCTATTACAGGCCTGTGATGAAAAAATGTGAAACAATTAAAAAGAGACCGCAATAATTAAAGAACAATTATGGCAGACAGCAACCGATGAAAACCACTTGAAAACAGACAGCGGTTAAGCATGTAAGTAAGCTCTAAACCCTCCCTTAACATGGGAAAGTGGTGTAACAACACAAAAAAGAACTAACTGTAAAAATTAGCTGGTAAAGGCTGGACTTCTCAGATCTGTTCTGAGCACCAAAAAAAATAATAGGTAAACAAAAGACCTGAAGTACTGATTTTAAGAGTACTTGCAGTTACTGAAAGCCAGTTCAAAGTCCATTAAAACAACACATTTTTTAAATTTCATGCTTCTAGGGCACTATTCTGGATTTACCTTCATCAGGAAAGCTTGAAGCCATATGTTTTAAAGCCAAGGATATATAAGAACCGAAACAGTTGAAGAATTATATGACCAAAAAAGACATAAAAATAATAGCCAAATCCATCTAAGGTCAACTTTGCCTTAAGGAGTTGAAATGTTAGTTTCTTAATAATAAAAAATCCACATATTTTTCCAGACTAAAATTTCAATCACTACACCTCCAACAGATTTAATGTCAAGAAATGTTTGATTATTATTTAATGCTGAAGGGACATAGCAACAGTGTCCGCAGTTCTTGTATGTGTCTTTCCATATCAAACTTGTAAGCATGACTTGAGTTGCAATCTTAAAATTAATCGGCATGAAGGATCATATAATGTTTGTAAATTGATGGTTCAAGAATTTAGGTCATCTAATAAAACTATATTAAACAGCCATTCAACATTTATAGGTTTGCTATAAAATGCTCCACTTTGCTTCCCTGTTCCAAGGTCGGTGCATCCTTGCGTAAAAGCAAAATACATATTATTACAATACACAAGATACATAAGATATAAAAATGAATTTTTTTTTGAACAGAGCTGTAGAAATTCCATTTGGTGACAAGGATCAGGGTGGTGACTATACCTTGTTGTCAGGTGACGTTGTAGAATGTAACATTGCTACTGACCGTCGAGATAAACTTCAGCGAGCAACAAATATCAAACTTCTGGATGAATCATTTACTGCCAATAAAGAGAACAGGGAAACAGTAAGTTTGAATTCATGAAGCATATTCAATTGGTGTTATAGGATTAAAATTGACATAAATCAGTCAGCTTTCCCTATTTAATTTTTTCAGCATTGAGCAGGATCAAGTTCGAATTTGGGTGGTGTCACTTTTACCGTTCTTGAGTTATGTCCCATTATAAAGTTTATAAAGTTATATGCAAAGGGGGGGAGGGGAGGGGGGGGGGGGGGGGTGCATCATCTCACATTCTCCATTAATTTATGATGTGTTCTATAGCTATATTTAGAAATGTGCATAATATCATAGGATCCATACACCTTAAGAATTTATAATATAATGACGTCATTTGTCTATGTTGAGATGGCATCTGTTACTCTGTTACTCAAAAAATAATAAATGTAAAAAGTTAAAGGTTCAAAGTGTATAGCTATATATGTATCTACTATCTGATCCTTAGAGACACAGTGCAGATTTTGGCCATTGCTTCTTGTTAGTCCAGAAATATTCATGAAAAATAACTTTCCAGAGATTGTGGGACACTTTGATAAAACTCAGAGAGTTTGAGTATAAATTATAATGTGTTTTTATTGTAGTTTGTTAAGAGAAAAGCTATTTGTAGGCCAATGTAGTTTGTTTTTAGGTGAATTCTTTTAAGATGTGAAAAAAGATGATGATGTTTTTTAATACAATTGAATGGCTTTTTCAGGGTGTAATTACAAATTTAAAAGATGGATATGGATTTATACAATGTACGGAGCGAGAAGCAAGGATGTTTTTCCACTTCAGTGAATTACTGGATCCAAAAAAAGAAGTCAAAACTAACGAAGAAGTAGAATTTACAGTAACACAGGTACACATAGTAGCATTGTTCAAGACCTATCTGTAGAAATCTTTGGTTATGTCTTTCACCAGAAATATTTTTCATATAGGTGCACCTTCATGATATTAGTCTAGCTACTGTATCTCAGTCCTAACTGTATTTAAGACGTTGAAGCCAAAATGAGGATTTTTTGGTAAGTGGGATATCCAAAATGATCCAAGCTAGCTCACTACTTGTTTTATATTGTCATTAATTATTTATTCCTAGGACTTGACAGTAGGACAGATTTTTTGCAACAAAATTTTCACATTTGCTTTATGTTAGTTCAAATGTGTTAAAAGTGAAATTTGATTTTTATGGTGATATTATTTTGAAAACAAAAATTTCTCTGACAGATTTAATTCATGTAAATCTTTGGGAATTATCTGAATCGATGTATGCACATTTTGTATGAAGCTCAAAAGCCAGTAAATTGTATTGCTTATACAAGGAAATTACGAGTTAATATAAAAATAAGATGTGGTATGATTGCCAATGAGTCAACTCTCCACAAGAGATCAAATTGACACAGAAATTAACAACTATTGTTCACAGTACAGCCTTCAACAAAGAGCAAAGCTCATACCACATAGTCAGCTATAAAAGGCCCCAAAATGACAAATGTAAAACAATTCAAATGAGAAAACTAATGGCCTATTTATGTACAAAATAATTAAATCAAGGTAATGATATGTTTTGTTTTAAAGATTCCTATACATTATTGTAACATCATGGAGAGCAGGAGATGTTGGTTTATATATGTATCAATATATACCCAACTACACAAAATATAGAATAGAACAAAATAAAATAAAAAAAAAACTACAGCAACAATCAGCTAGAGGTTAACAAAAAGAAGAAAAAAAACTAATTAATCAATTTATTTTCTCAGCCATTATTGCAATTATTTGTAAAGATTTTCTTAATATGAAATAAAATTTACCTAGCTTAAAAAAATTGATATGGTTTATGTTGTAAATTAAAGTGTTTAACTTTGCTTTCAGGATCCTTCAGCATCAAATGGTAACAAACTTATGGCTATCAGAATCAAATATTTATCTAAAGGAAGTGTATCATTTCTAGTCATCCATCCAGAAAAATACATTGGAACTGTGGATAAGGAACCCAACGCCCATAAAAGTCCAGGTAAATATTTATCATCAAAATCAACCTTGGAACTGTGGATAAGGAACCCAATGCCCATAGCCCCATACAGGGCTCGACACTAAGACTTGTCCGATTGTCCGGTACCAGATGTAAAAAAAGGTCGGACAAGTAAAAGCCATATCAAGCTTGTCCGACAGGAGAAGTAAAATCATTTTGTAGAAAATAAATTAAATCCAACTTTGATAATCAAAGTAATAAACAAAAATCCAGAAAAGAAGATAAAAAACAAATATTAATTTGACATGTTTACTTGCGATCAATTATTTAAAACTGGTTCTTTGTCAAAAACTTTATAACAGATAAAAGGCATACTATTCTTGGAAACCAGTCTTACCAATGGAATCAGCAGTGGGCTTTGTATATAAGGTAACAAGACACCGGCACGAAACAAATAGGAATCAACAAATAGGAATCGGCTCCATGTTTTCATCGATGGCGATATTTCGGGATCAAGACAAACCAGTACTTCCTTTCCCTACGTTATTCTGTTGCTTTATAATGAATATATTATAAATTTTATTCAACAAAAACATTTTAAAAATAAAAATGAAGAAATTATTGACCATAGAATTCAGAAAATCATATTTGATCATATTTAGACAAACAATTTTTGATTGTGTTTGAATAAACATTTTAATATATTAAAAACAAATCTGATTGTAGTAAGGCATTAATCATAATAATCAATATCAACATAAAAGACCAGGATACAAACCAAATGAGTGTAGACTGACAGGCCTACCAGACTGTGCCTGATGTGCAGAGTCTGATGAGATTTTGGCTTTGATGAAAACTAGAACCTAAGTCCTGTGACTAGACATGACTAGATTCAGTTGTTCTCGACTCATGTTTTTGAAAAGGATATCAAGAGATATAGATCAAATTCTGTTCTATTGTTTTAATTCATTTTGTTCATTGAATCAACCTAAAATGCAAAAAAGGTTAATATAAACTAAAGTTGTTTTTTGGTCAAGTTACAATTCCATTCGGACAAGTAAGTTTTGGTATGTACTTGTCCTATTGGGCAAGTTGAAAAAAAGTTATTGTAGAGGCCTACCATATAAGTCCAGGTATATATTTATTAGGGATGTCAATGGTGAAGAATTACTTATCATGAACTCATTGGCTTTACCAAATGATACTCGACTACTTGCTCAGAAAAGTATCTTCAAAAAGGAAACACAAACATTGAAACAAGGGACCCACAGTGAAGCACCATTGTATTGACTGATGATTTAGTCCATAAAAAATCATTCTTATACAGCAGAAACAATAATTTACAATTTTTTTAATCTTTGATATGAAATCAAACGTACCTATAGAAATCATCAGTGTATGTACTATGTATATATACTATTGCAGATATCCCAGATATGTACTATTGACTGTACATGTTTGTGTATTTATATTTATATGTTTACATCATAGGACCATTGTCATTCTTTGTTAACCTTATTTTCTATGTCAGATGCAGATTTGATCATTTTATGTCTGGTGAAAACCAATATTTTTCCAATTTAAATATTGATATACTTTATGCGAACAAATCAACACAACTGCATTGTTCTTTCAACTTTGAACTTGGGTCCAATTTAATTACTTTTATTCAATAGTTTTTAATGTGTAATTTTATTTACTATACATGTATCTATGAATTATTTCAGGTAAAATAAAAGAAGCTGAAACTGGAATTATAATATTTGATTTTGATGAAAAAATTCAGAAAATTTCTTACACAATCAAAGATGTCTTGGAACTGAAAAATGCTCCCAGATATGGAGATAAGGTAAGAAATAATGTGATTTACAGAAGTTTCAAAATTACCAGGTTCCAAATAGTTGATATATTTTAAAAGATATTTGCCAAATAAGTAATATTAAGCCAGAAATTTATATATATTTGCTCTTGGTTTTTGTCTTAAACGAAAGAAGCTGTCAGAGGTTAAAAAAACTTTGTGTTTACTGTTAATGTGTTAAAGATATAAGCATTTAAAAACTTTTGTGAAGAGAAGTCTTCACTGTAAAAATCTTTGAAGAAATAACAAGGATATAACCAGATTTTGCAGTAATGAAGTTTTAAATGTATTTAATAAAATAAAGTAAAGTAAAATTGTGATTACTTTGCAAAATTTTATCATGCTACTAAATCTTAAAGTCAGACAAGCTCAAACTAATAAGGCTTAGATCATCATTGAACATGATTAACCACACAAATATGATGATTCTTTTTTTGCTCGAGCATGAACTTTGAAACGGTAAGACAAAGAATCAACGAATGATAAAAATACAAAACACCATCTGGTAAGATTTTATAATTCTCTGAGGCATGCCTCACCTTCATGTGTCTTTTATTTCTTTGTCTCTTTTGCTGGTGTTAGATTTTTTATATTTTAACCATGGTATATCTCATATCTCAATCATTAAATATCTCGTATCTCAACCTGGTAAAATCTCATATCTCAACCCTGTTATTTCTAGTATCTCAACCCTGTTATTTCTCATATCTCAACCCTGTTATTTCTAATATCTCAACCATGTTATTTTTCATATCGCAACCATTTTGTATCTCATATCTCAACAATGTAATTTCTAGTATCTCAACCCTGTTATTTCTCTTATCTCAACCCTGTTATATCTCATATCTCAACCTTGGTTTATTTCATATCTCAACCATTTTATTTCTCATATCTCTACAATGGTATATCTCGCATCTCAACCATGTTATTTTTCATATCTCAACCCTGTTTTTTCTCATATCTCAACCTTGGTGTATCTCATATCTCAACCATGTTATTTCTCATATCTCAACAGTTGTATATCTTATATCTCAACCATGTTATTTCTCATATCTAAACCATTTTATTTCTCATATCTCAACCCTGTTATTTCTCATATCTCAACCATGTTGTATCTCATATCTCAACCATGTTATATCTCATATTTGAACCAACCAAGCATTAATGTATAATTTCAGGTGGAATTCAATCTCGGCGAAGTAAAATCAACTAAAACAAGAACCGGTGTAAACGTTAGAGTGGTTTTACGTAACCTCAACAACAAGTGTCAGGGATTTGTGGCCACATTGAAAGATAATTACGGATTTATTGAAAACTCTGATCATGAAAAGGAAGTCTTCTTTCACTTTAGGTAAGGCAGAATATCATAGAAATAAATGGAAATGTGTGGTATAAAACATTGTGACAGCAACCAGTCAACACAACCAAAAGACATTTATAGGTCATTGGAAATATTTTCAACAAGGGATGTGTGTCTTTTCCATATGTCAAACTCTTAATTGCTCCAAGACTAACATAGAGAATAAATTAAACTGAAATTATCAAAGATCTTAGGGGCTTCAGTGGCTGAGTGGTCTAAGTAGTTACTACTGTAATTACTAGCCAGTCAACACTGAGGTTGTGAGTTCGAACTTCGCTTGGGCGGATGCACTCGACTCCAATCTTAATTGACTAGGATTGTCAGTTTTCCTATCGAAGGTCGTGGTTTTCTCCGGGCACTCCGGCTTCCTCAACCAATAAAAACTGGCCGCCACAAAATAGCCCAAAAGCGGTGCTTAAAAGTGGCGTTAAAACACCAAAAATCAGAATCAAATCAAAGATCTTAAGCTTTCATCAAATCAAACTTTTCAACTAACAAAAAAACCAAATACGATGTAAAAACAACTGATGAAATCCCCAATTGGGAAACATTTTAATTATTGTCGTTTTGAACACTATATGCATAGGAATATAAATTGAATAAAATGTTCTTTTTACTCAAATTAAAAAAGAGTTAAATATTAAAAAAAACAGCTTTCTTTGACAATTGTTTTTTTTACAGCTCATATGAAGGTGATCCAAATGACCTTGATCTTGGAGATGAAGTGGAATATACACTCTGCAGAAAAAGTGCCAAACACAGTGCTGAAAATATACACAAACTGCCAAAAGGAACCATTCCAACGGAGGTTTGTATGCTATAATTTATACAATTTACAAAATAAGCCATTCTACACATGAACTATCAAAAGTAACCATTCCAACCAAGGCATGTATGTCCAAAATATACACATACTGCCAAAGATAACCATTCCCCCCAAAGTATGTATGCTTAGAATATAGACACACTGCCAAAAGTAACCATTTCACTCGAGGTATGTATGTTCGAACTATACTGTGGAGTTATCTATTTTTAAGGGTACCAATTTTCTTTGCTTGAGAGAACATGGTATTTTGATGGATATTTGAATTTTAAAAAGTCATACAAACTTATAAAAATTTATAGTTTGTTGAATTTATAGATTTATTTGTGCATTGATCAGATTATCTGGTAATGTTTATGCTCAATAAAGCGAAAAGTGCGTGATCATGATTGTCACACGAAAACCACACGACACTTGCGTTCAAGCTATCTATGACTTCTTTTATGGTTTTCAGATCTAATGGTCTTGGTTAGTCTGATTGTAAAAATTCAGCAAAGCCAAAATTGTAAATCAGATTTATTTATTGTGATGTTAGGTTTTAAACATACGAACAGTGTTCTCCCCAGAAATTTTGGATAGCATCACATTTGTCGTAAAAAATAAATAGTATTTTTTTTCAATGTCATTTGTCGCATCGCGATGATGCTCTATTTCCTTTAAGTAATGTTTAAATTGTTCAATTCATAACAAAGTATAGCAGTTGTTTCAGTTTATGTCTTCAATATTCATTTTTAGTTACACAATTATATTTTTACTATTGTCAGAAACTACCAACTAAATATCTAGTACAAAAAGAAAAAGAAAGTATCATATACTAATAAAATTTCAATTCAAAAACTATTCTGTTTATCATGTTAATGAAATTCATTGTTTCCTAGGACTCATTGTATTAGTCAGTGTTCTCCCCAGGCCCTTAAAGGACCGCGGGCCCGCGATGTATAATTTTTTACCATGGTGGTATCGTTCTTACCGCGATGTATAATTTTTCTCCGTGGTGCTAAAATTTTCAGTTAATAAATCGTAAATCGGTAAAGTTTTAAACGACTTGTTAAATCTTTTCCGTGCGGTTTAAAATTCTAGGTGAAATTTGACCAGTTCAAACCAGTTCAACACAGATTGTTTTCACCACGTGATCGATTTACCTTTATGAGGTTAACCTTTGTTGATTGGATTTAATCGATGTAATTAACACTTTTTACATGATTCTTTTGTGTTTTAATTTAGAGATCATAACTTTATGATCAAAGATAACTATTTTAAGGCTTAACTCACCACCTGACAAGTCGGCAAATACTTTGTACACAAACCGTGTTGACCCGATAGTTGTACACACGACGGTACATATTTTGTACATTATAAAGTTAGCTCAATACTTATATTATAGTTTTATATGTTTCTGATTAAACCATGGCCAAAATTATCTTTAATTATGACATAGTTATTGCATGATATTCCCGTTTCAAACTGTCAACAAGTAATTCAAAGGGGAAGGATCATATGACCCAGTTAGTTCACATAGAATATTCAAGATTATTTACAATTAACTGCAATCTATTCTATTTTATAAATAAAATGCATGACTGTATCTTCAAACTGGATATCTATATCCATATGATCATTAATGAATAACAGACAACAAATGGAAGTTTTTAACGACCTTGACTGGCTATACAGCCCTTGCACAGTCGGTAAACAACAGAAGCACATGTTAAATCTATTTATATCTACAGTTCTACTTCCTGTCATTTAGGCGGGAAAATAGGGAGACTTTGTTCTTGACATTGAATATGGTTACTTATAGATCTATAGACCTAAGATAAATTTATAGATTTAGGAATTCTTTTTAAATGGGTCATGACAAATAAAGTTTTAGATTTCAGTGCAGTATTAAGTCTGTATCTATGTTTGATTATCACCAAAGACAAGAAAGGTTAATATTTACATGTACATGAAATCTATGGCAAAATGTTTTAAAATTTATGAAAAATTTCTTTTTATCAAAATTTAAGATAGAAACTGGTTCAAATTATAACACAATTTTGTTCTTGTTAATTTTATATCTCCTTATGACAGGAATCCTTTCACATACAACAACTTTCTTTCTAGAAACTAGAAAGTTTTTTAAATTGAATATTTTTGTTCTCTTTTGAATCTGGGAACAGTATATCTAACAATGTATATGTTCCTGTTTGAATGATATTTTATTTTTATTGATCATGGATTTTATAAAAGATTTAATTACTTTAAATTTAGATGAATATTATGTAATGAATCATGTTTTATTTATTTTTAAAAAATATTAAAAGTATACAAACTGTTTATTGATCTTTTTAACCAATAATATTCTGACATAACACAGTACCACAGTATTAAAACAAAACAAGAGACATAAAAACTGCAGTAACTAGAAATATAGCGTTGCCACGCGCCACAACTGATTGTATGAATCATTTCACCAAGCTGTTCACACGCGTTACCCTGGTGCTATCCAAAAATCCTGTGGAGAACACTGTTAGTCCCAGTTGTTTCTCATCAAAAAGATATATAATTTTAAGAAGTTAAGCTACTTTAATCACTAAATTGAAACAATGCATTTACATAGAAATAAATACATTTAGCAAGGAGATCTAACAAATAGTCTGTTAATGCATGTGGAATGCGTAGTTTTTATACGACCGCAAAAAAATTTTGTGGTCGTATATTGGTATGACGTTGGCGTCGTCGTCGTCGTCCGGCGTCGTCGTCGTCCGGCGTCGTCGTCCGAATACACATTGGTTTTCGCACTCTAACTTTAGTTTAAGTAAATGGATCTTTTTGAAATTTGACCATAAGGTTAAATACCACAAAAGGAAGGTTGGGATTGATTTTGGGGGTTATGGTACCAACAGTTAAGGAATTAGGGGCCAAAAAGGGGCCAAAAATAAGCATTTTCTAGTTTCCAGACAATAACTGTGGAACGGTGTATGGATCACTCTGAAATTATACTACAAGTTTCCATACCACAAAGGGATGGTTAGGATTTGCTTTGGGGGGTTATGGCTCAAACCGTTTAGGAATTAGAGGCAAAAAAGGGGGGAAAACAAGGTTGTCCTGGTTAATGGACAAATACTTTAGTACAGAACATAATTTAAAGCAGTGTAAGGGAGATAAATCAAATACATCATTGAAATTATCTCCCTTACACTGCTTTTAAATTATGTATAAAGTAATGGTTAATGAACAATAAAGATAATTTAAAACAGTGTAAGGGAGGTAATCAAAATACAACGTTTTGGTTACTTCCCTTACACTGCTTTTAAATTATGTTTAAAGAAATGCATATTTATAAAGGAAGACCAGTAAAAATATCTGCAAATGTTGCATCTTTTTTTTTTTACAAAAAAATCCATATGAAAGATTTGACACTATATTTTTAATTATATTATAGAATAGATTAAGTTAGCACTATGGTAAATTTAAATGGGTAATTATGGTTGCCAACTCCATTGGAAATTTGAATTGAGATTATGACCATATCTTGAGGGAAAGAATTTTTTGGGGGAAAAAAAAGGGGGGGGGGGGGGGGGGGGGATAAAAAGAAATTGCGGGGGGTCAATTTTTTCTCATTTCAGATTTCAGAAATTAAAAAAATTATTCTTCAAATATTGAATATAAGAAGAAATCTTTAATTGCACAGTATGGCGCATTAAATTTGTAAAATCTTTGATCACATTTATTTATTTGTTATGCCGAATCCAACAGTGTATTTAGATTTTTAATTTTGGGTCCAGTTTTCAAATTGGTCTACATTAAGGTCCAAAGGGTCCAAAATTAAACTTTGTTTGATTATAGCAAAAATTGAATATATGAGGTTCTTTGATATGCTGAATCTAAACATGTATTTAGATTTTTGATTTTTGGCCCAGTTTTCAAGTTGGTCCAAATTGGGGTCCAAAATTGAACTTTGTTTGATTTCAACAAAAATTGAATATATGGGGTTCCTTGATATGCTGAATCTAACCATGTATTTAGATTTTTTATTTGTGGACCCCGTTATCAAATTGGTTCATATTGAGGTCAAAAGGGTCCAAAATTAAACTTTGTTTGATTTCATCTAAAATTGAATTATTGGGGTTCTTTGATATTCCAAATCTAACCGTGTATTTAGATTTTTAATTTTGGGTCCTGTTTTTGAAATTGGTCTACATTAAGGTCCAAAGGGTCCAAAATTAAACTTAGTTTGATTTTAACAAAAATTGAATTCTTGGGGTTCTTTGATATGCTGAATCTAAACATGTGTTTAGATTTTTGATTATGGGCCCAGTTTTCAAGTTGGTCCAAGATAGGGTCCAGTATTTTAACTTTGTTTGATTTCAACAAAAATTGAATATATGGGGTTCTTTGATATCCTGAATCTAAACATGTATTTAGATTTTTGATTATGGGCCCAGTTTTCAAGTTGGTCCAAATTGGGGTCCAAAATTAAACTTTGTTTGATTTCAACAAAAATTTAATATATGAGGTTCTTTGATATGCTGAATCTAACCATGTATTTAGATTTTTTATTTGTAGGCCCCGTTATCAAATTGATTCATATTGAGGTCAAAAGGGTCCAAAATTAAACTTTGTTTGATTTTATCAAAAATTGAATTATTGGGGTTCTTTGATATGCCATATCTAACCGTGTTTTTAGATTTTTAATTTGGGTCCCGTTTTTTAAATTGGTTTTCATTGAGGTCCAAAGGGTCCAAAATTAAACTTAGTTTGATTTTAACAAAAATTGAATTCTTGGGGTTCTTTGATATGCTGAATCTAAACATGTGTCTAGATTTTTTATTATGGGCCCAGTTTTCAAGTTGGTCCAAGTTGGGGTCTAAAATTAAACTTTTTTTGATTTCAACAAAAATTGAATATATGGGGTTCTTTGATATGCTGAATCTAACCATGAATTTAGATTTTTTATTTGTGGGCCCCGCTATCAAGTTGGTTCATATTGAGGTCAAAAG